GGAGGGAGGAGGGAGGCAAATCACTTTTTATGTACATCTATATACATAAGCACAATATGTGGGTGAGGTGATGAACAGCAGTCGGGTTAGAGTGTGCACACAGTGAACAAATAAATTAAGTTCATCTCCCCGATTCTTCAGTGCCAGCACTCTGCTCCGAGGCATCTGGGGGGGCCAGCTGAAGCAGTGAGGTATGAAGGCGCAGTATTCCCAGCTGACCCCCCACTGTCCTCCTGCAGAACTTGAGGTGATGAGCACACACAAAGCACCGTGGGCACAGCCAACACCTAGGAGAACCCATCCTTCCATACGAATGAGGTCTTTGGGCAAGAGGAGACGCGAGGCTCAGGAGGCATGTCCCAAGGAGGCCCGTGGAAGGCCATCCTGACAGAGCTCTGACGTCATCAGCGTGACGTCAATCAACCTCTGTTACCGTAGAGTTACTTCAGGGAAGGGAGGCCAAGGGCTGTCATCTTCTTACTTCTCCCCTTTTTACAGTCGAGTGAGGTCTTCCGAAGGATTGCCACCTCTCTCCCTCGCTGAAGGCCCCTCACCTGGTTCTGCTTTGTTTTCAAGTCTGAAGGTGGGATTTATCCTACCAGGGGAATAGTCATTCCTTTTTAAATCTGCAAGGAAGACAATTAAGGCGTTTATGGGGATCTTCAAAAACGAAGTGCTCATACCGATAAACTGAGACAAGCTTTTCCAAGGACTCAGAGCGCACTGCTCCCTCAAGCAACACATATATGAAACTCAAACCTCCAACCATGTCCGAAGCACCTGCCCCATGCCCACGTGTGACTCTAACTCCCCAGTGCTGTTTTAGACTTGTGTGCACTGGGGCCAGGGAGGAAGGGTGTGGTTGCTTGATTCAATACGCAATGTCCAATGAGGCACAACCTGGCCAGAGGTAAGGGAGGCCAAACTGGAAACAGGGCATTGCACCACTGAGCAATGGGCAGGACATGGCAGTCCGACGCTGATCCCGAAATTCTGTAGTCAGCTTTCTGCAACAAAGCTGCACCTGGGTCAGTGCTGCCTCGAAAGTGTCATCCAATTATTGGGTCCTGTGCTTCCTTCTTCCATTTGAAAAGGAAATTATCAAAAGAAAACATTAATAGGGGTCATCCTTGGGGAGAAACATATGGAGGAAAATGGGCTTTAAATGTCTGTGTACCACCCAGCCAGTGTGGCTCAGCAGTTGAGCACTGGCCTAGGATCCAGGAGATCAAGGTTCGATTCCCGGTCAGGGCACATGCCCGGGTTGTGGGCTTGACCCCCAGTAGGGGGTGTGCAGGGGGCAGCCGATCAATGACTCTCTCATCACTGATGTTTCTCTCTCTCTCTCCCTCTCCCTCTCTCTGAAATCAATACTTTTTTTTTTAAATGTTTGTGTACCATTTTGTGTTATATTAATTAAATTTAACCTTAAACATCATATATATTCAGTGTATTTTTAATGTTAAATGAAGATTATCCGAACATAAAAATAACACAAGTTGCAGTTTAATAATAACCAACAGTTATTGATATATCCATATATTACTTCAATCCTCACACTGACTTCATCAGTGCTATTATCCCCAGCGTACAGATGAGGAAACCGAGGCCCAAGGTCATATCCTCGTAAGAAGCAGAACTGGGGTGTGAGCTCAGACTATCTGGCTCTGGATCCCACGTCTCATACACTATCCTAAACTGTCTCTTTAAATTAGGTAGATCGATAAATAAAACATTATCGAGAAAAAAGAAAAACCACCCCATTCCTGTTTTCCAGACTAAACTTTTTTTTATTCAGATAGCCAAATAATTGAATAGCTGAAGATGTTTCTCAACAGCCAGTGGGCTGTGAACTGATCTCTCCGCCCAGGTCCGGTGTGGTTTGTGAGGGCAAGTCCTCGGCAGCTGGAAGAGGGGAGTGACGCCCCTCCCCCTCTGTGCCGCTCCCACCCCACC